CCCTAATGGCGGGGAACTTGGGCCGCCGCCGAGGCCGTTCGCGATGCGGCGGCAATGGCAATTATTTCCCTAATAACTTATGGGGTGAAAGAAGGATGGGAGTGGGAGATAGGGTGGAGCAGGGGGTGTGGGCGAGAGGGACGTGGGAGTATCCGCAGGTGGAAAAGGAGGAACGGCGGAGGGAGAGAGAGGGTGGTGGGGTTAGGGGGAGGGTGACCGTGTGGGCATTGGCACGGAGGAAAGGAAGTGACAGGGGCCATAGGGACAAGAATAGACGAAGTAGGGGGAGGGGGTATTGGGGTGTGAATGAAGGAGTGAAGGGGGAGGATAGACGACACAGAAAAATATACACGTAATGTATGATAGTAAAGAAAAAAAACTTTTCCGGGTAAATTATTTCTTTTTTATGTAGCGGTCAATTGTACGAGAACTCCTGCATGTGCCTTGCCCCCTCCGGCTGGTTGCTATGTTGTGCTGCTTCCGTTTGTCAGGGCGAACGAAAAGCGAGATGTGTATATAGGGTGCTGGATGATATGGTGTTATTATTATTTTATTTTTTTCTGCCTATGTATGTATATTTTTCTCCTCCATTCTCCCTCTCTTTCCATTCCCTCTTTCCTTTAACTACTACTTCATCTACCTCCCTGCTTCCTTTTCCTCTTCCACCCTCTCCTTCTCTTTTCTTTCTTTCTCTCTCCGTCCCTCCTCCTTTACTCCTCAATATCCCTGTTCTTCGTCTTCCCCCTCTCCTTTCCTCTAGTCCCTCCCCTTCCTTTCCTCCCTTCCCTTCTCCCTCTTCCTCCCTCTCCTGTGCAGTGCAGTGAACGTGCTGGCCTTGCTGACGAACTAAATTCCTTGCACACAGAGGGAGATTTGGAAGGCAAAATAAAACAGACAGTATGGCACAGCAAAGAATGTCCATTGTAACAAATGGAATTGAAACAAAATCTTTAAAATCTTTATCCCCTCCTCCCTCTTCTTTCGGCCTTTCTACTCCCTTTTCTCCCGTCCCCTCCTCCCTCGTCCTCTTTCTGGCCCCCTCCACCTCCCCCTCTTCTCGCCCCCTCCACCCTCCCCCTCTTCTCCGCCCCCTCCTCCCTCCCCCTCCTCTCGCCCCCTCCACCCTCCCCCTTCTCGCCCCCTCCTCCCTCCCCCTCCTCTCGCCCCTCCACCCTCCCCTCTTCTCGCCCCCTTCACCCTCCCCCTCTTCTCGCCCCCTCCACCCCCCCCTCCTCCTGCCAACTCCTCTTTGTTCCCTGCGACGTGCTCCCTGGTGTCCTCCCCGCCTGAGCATTACCCTCGTCCCTTCGTGTCCTTTTGGGCGAAGTGACGTGAGGAGAGAAGACGCGATAAAAGGCGATGGGCACGAGGAGAAGGGAATAATTACGCGGGAATTGTTTGTGGAATGGAATCCGAGCTCAAGCGCTGGGCCGGGAGGGGTATGGGGTATGAGGGGGAGGAGGGTATTGAGGGACGGGGTGATTGGAGAGCATTGGCATTGGGTAGGGGATTAGGAAGGGGATGGGGAAGGGGCGAGTAGGGGATGGGGACTGGCAGAGGGACAGGAAGAAAGGGAAAGGTTGGGCAAGAGTGCGTGGATGGGAGATGGAAAGAGACAGGAGGGAGATGGAGAGGGAGATGGTGAGGCAAATAAGCAAGTTCAGCCGCGCGAAACAAGTAGGCTGTCCGAGGCCTGCAGACCGACGACCAGTCTGACGAATGGACAGGCAACGGCAGAGAGGGAAGAGAGGGAGGGAGACGGGTGTGGATGAGACAAGCTGCGCCTACGTCTTTGCAATCACCCTGGGAGTCTGGCGTCACCTCGCGCCTTCTTATGACATTTTCCAAGTTGACGCTTTCTCCCTGGGCGTAATTGGTTTCCTGGGAAGGACCTTTCTTCTCTTTCATGTGTGTAGTAACTATCATTAACTCGCATGCTGTTATTTGTTAGGTGTTCCTGAGTTGTTACAGGCAGTCTTGTTATTGATATTGCCACAGCTGTAGTATCACTACTGCTACTATTTATAATAGTATTACCGTTAATATTACTGCTGCTACTATTACCAGTATAACTGCTATTATTATTTCCCAACTCCCACCCCGAGCTAGACCATGGTTGTTATGATTGGTTGTTGGGCACTCCCCAAACCCGCACAGTTCTTACGTCCTTCACCCTGCCCTTCCTCTCTGGCCTTCGGTCTTGCACGGCGCCGGGCTAACGCGAGTCCCCTCCACAGAGAGCGAGTGTGAAGGCTGGGCGATCGAGCTCCTCTCAAACAGGGCAGCTGCTCGAAGAGGCGAGAAGGAAAGGCGACGCCCACCAGAACAGCCATATCGCTCATTGTCTTGTCGCGCGTGACTTGGGGCAAATATTGCCGTAAAGTTTCGTGATCACGGTTTTAGAATCTTTCTAAATGGGCCGATTTTTCATTTTCATTTCCCTCTCGATGGCAATCTTAATCTCCGATAGAGCAACAGGTTCTACGATTCGGATGTCTACTTGTATTACTATAGCTCCTAGTACTGCTGGACTGCTGCTATTGCCACTACTGCTGCGAGCGGTATAGAGTGCAATAGTTCCTGCTAATTGGTCTCTTAAATAACGTCACCAATAGAAAAGAAGCGAATTGGAATATCCAAGTCTTAATAGGATTTTCCATTTCATTTATCAGGTTTCATTTACCTCGGACGTTATTGTTTCCCATGGACATTGGCGTGTTTATAGACCGTTGCTATGGTTACGAAAGGACGGTAGAGAAGCGAGGGGGCGTGTTGTGGGGGGTGGGGGGAGGGGTAAGATGGAGCGGGCGTCTTGGCAAGTAGATACGGTTATTGTTGTTTATTTTTTTCTCTATATTTGGTTTATGATGTTTTCGATTTCGGTAATGTAGAAATAAGTTTTGCGTATTTTTCCCCTGTTTCTCTCTGGTCGTTCTCCCTGTCCGCGGTCCTCATCTCCCTCTTCTGCTCCTCCTCTTCTTCCTCTCCTCATCTCCTCCTCCTCCTCTTCTTCTCCTCCTCTTCCTCCACTCCACAATTCCTCCTCCTCCTACTCTTCTTCCTCTCCCTCGTCTCTGCATCTCCTCCTCTTCCTCCTCTTCTTCTTATTATTTCCACCACGCTTGCTTCATTCTCCTCCCTCCTCCACCCCTTCTTCCACCACCACCACCACCACCACCACCTCCTCTTTCTCCTTCTCTCCTCTTCTCTCTTCCACTTCTTCTTCTTCTTCTTCTCTTCTTCTTTCTTCTTCTTCTTCTTCTCTTCTTCTTCTTCTTCTCTTCTTCTTCTTCTTTCTTCTTCTTCTTCTTCTTCTTCTCTCCTCCTCCTCCTCCTCCTCCTCCTCCTCCTCCTCCTCCTCCTCCTCCTCCTCCTCTTCACCTTCCCACTTCTTCTCTTTCTCTTTCCCCTTCCCTCTTCCTTCCCCTTCCTCCTCTCGTTCCTCCTACTTATTCTTCGTCGTCGTCGTCTTTTCATTCTTCATTTCCTTTCACCTTCTTAAGATTCATTACTTGCCCACCATACGTGTTTGTTTTGCGTTGCCATGGTGACATTGGATTGGATCCTGTTTAGCATAAGGGAGATTGGTCTATGAGAGGAAGTGATTCCCTCTGCACATGTTTGGACGTAGACATACAAGCTCTCGCTCTCATGCACTCACTTGCTCCCCCCTCTCTCTTTCTTTCTCTCACTTTCTTTCTCTCTCTTTCTTTCCTCTCTCCCCTCTCTCTCTTTCTTTCCTCTCTCCTCTCTCTCTCTCCTCTCTTTCTCTCTCTTTTCTCTTTTTTCTCTCTTTTCTCTTTTTCTCTCTTTTCTCCTCTCTCTCTCTCTCTCTCTCTCTCTCTCTTCTCTCTCTCCTCTCTCTCTCTCTCTCTCTCTCTCTCTCTCTCTCTCTCTCTCTCTCTCTCTCTCTCTCTCTCTGTCTCTCTGTCTCTCTGTCTCTCTGTCTCTCTCTCTCTCTCTCTCTCTCTCTCTCTCTCTCTCTCTCTCTCTCTCTCTCTCTCTCTCTCTCTCTCTCTCTCTCTCTCTTCTCTCTCTCTCTCTCTCTCTCTCTCTCTCTCTCTCCTTTCTTCTCTCTCCTCTCTCTCCTTCTCTCCTCTCTCTCCTTCTCTCTCTCTCTCTTCTCTCTCTCTCTCTCTCTCTCTCTCTCTCTCTCTCTCTCTCTCTCTCTCTCTCTCTCTCTCTCTCTCTCTCTCTCTCTCTCTCTCTCTCTCTCTCTCTCTCTCTCCCCCTCTCTCCTCTCTCTCTCTCTCTCCCTCTCTCTCTCTCTCCCTCTCGCCCCCTCCCCCCGGTATGTATGTGCTCAAAGAAAACCCAGGGTCGATTACGTAGGCGATTTTTTTCTTCCAAGGAGATTAAGTGTCCAGCCTCCGTCGGGGTCCCGGGATGCGCTCGCTCGCCCGTCTTGCCGACTCGTCCCTTAACTGCACAGATGTTTGCAAGCGTGTGATGATTTGCAGGTGTGATTTGTTTGTTGGTTGGTTTCCGGCATTGTGCGTTTACATCGTTAAGTTGGTATTTATTCCTTTAGATGGATCCCACGCGTGTACGAATTTAAGCGAGTTCGCAGATTGTTGCATTTCATAATTGTTTGGGAAATGCATCGGCCTGAAGAGAATTCAGTCTGTAATTTCATTGTACATTAAAACTCTACACCCCCTTAGGCAGCCCCTGCTCTGCATGCTACCCTCGGTAACCGGCCGCAATATAGAACACAGACGACGCCTGACGGGGGGGGGGGGTATTTATAATTTTATTTGTCCTTTTCATCCTCTGTTGGATTTGGATAGTTTTATGGAATCGAGGGGATGGTATGCATTAATTTTTTAATCGTTTACATATATGTATATGTATAAGTACATGTATATATGTATTTATATATATGTATATATTTATGTATGTGTGCATGTGATTTGATTTTTTTCTTTAATTCGTACACATTGACTTCCATGTTTTTTTTTAGATTGCCACAGTTTAACGCCCCTTTCCTCCTCCTTCAGGGTCCATCATGTTCCACGTGCGACGACGCCCTGCGGATTACGGGCCGCGAAAAAGGAAGAAGAAGCCCATCAAGGGCATGGGCGGCGGGGGCGGACCTGGTGGCGACGCCCACGAGCACCAGCGCCCACGCGACCCGCACTTCTTGCCCGACAGACTACCCTTCCTCATCGAGCTCGGACCCGGTCAGTAGAGTCATGGCTCCCTATGTTCTGCCTGTGTGTTAGTTGGTAGTGTTTAATATTTTGCCCTCGATTGTGCACAGCTAAAAATTAGCACGCACAACACACGGACAGCTGTATGGTACGGTTTGTAAGTGTGTTTATGCATACGCTCTGTACTGAAGTAATTACATTCCAGTACTTGGTCGTAGTCTGTAAGGGACCCAGGTCTCCTTGTGTAGTTGTTTGGCCTCGTGTTTCCCTCGCTCAGTTACGAGGAGATTAAGGAGGGAGCAGCAAGAGAGGGAAAGAAATGTTGTTTTCTCAGTCTCTCTCTCCTTTGTTCTCCCTGTCTGTCTCGGCCTTATCCCCCCCCCCCCCCGTCCATATCCATCATGCGACAGATTGCAATCGTGGCACTGTTTGTGTGTGTGTGTAGATGGGGGAGGGGGAGGGAGCTTTGCAAGGTTATCCTCCACCGTCCCCTCCCCCTCTCCTTCCTCTTACTCTTCCTCCATACCTCCCCCTCCACCCCTCCTCCCAATCCTTAATGGGGAGAGGAGGGGAGGGAAGGGCCTGCAGGGATGGGAAGAGAAAAGGGGTACGGGAAAGGGACGGGGAGGGGAGGGGGCAAGGGACCAGAAGGCCCAGCAGTCTTTGATCCCCGCAGGCGGTGCTGGATCACGAAGCGGCGGCTGAAAGGGGGTTCCCCTGAGTGGGTTTCGATGATGGCATATTGCCTCGCCCACCTCTCCCTTCTCCTTCTGCCGCCCACGCCTTCTCCCTCCCGCCCACGCCTCCTTCTCCCTCCCGCCACGTCTCCCTCTCCTTCTCCCTCCCGCCCACGTCTCCTTCTCCTTCTCCTCCCGCCCACGTCTCCCTTCTCCTTCTCCCTCCCGCCCACGTCTCCCTTCTCCTTCTCCCTCTCGCCCACGTCTCCCTTCTCCTTCTCCCTCCCGCCAACCTCTCTGCTCTTCCTCTCTCCCACCCTCCTTTTCTTCCTCCCCCTCCCTCCCACTCAACTTTCCTTCCTCCCACCCATCTCTCCTTCGTTCTCTTCCTTCCTACCTCTCCTACCTACCCCATCCCTTCGTCTTTTTTTCGTCTTCTCACTCGCCCTCACCCTAACCCCTACTCTCCCCGCAAACTTACACAACGGTCAAAATGATAACGATAACGATAAGGACAAAATGAAAACAACCATTTTTTTCACCTTTATCTTATTAATTTTTGTCTTACCCGCTACTTCTGTTTCGTTCCACCTGAGTGAGTGAGTGAGTGAGTGAGTGAGTGAGTGAGTGAGTGAGTGAGTGAGTGAGTGAGTGAGTGAGTGACGTGAGTGATTGAGAGTGAGAGAGTGAGTGAGTGAGTGAGTGAGTGAGTATATATATATATACACAAATGCCCTCAGAAATTGTTGCCGTCATATTTTTGTAGAAAGTTCCAGGGCCTTTCGTCTCATTATAACAGGTTTATTTCCTTCAAATTAAAAGTGAACGATGTAAACAATCGAAAAATAATAGAGGGATATGTAAGCGCAGTAGACTGAGGACCATAGACAGACGGGACAATGTTTATTGTGAAACAAAACAAATCCAGAGGCACAGACACAGAGCCACACGGTTTGAAATATACAAAAAAAAAAATAGATAAAAGGATTCTAGGTGAAACAGTCAACAGTGTAATTTGCATAATAGCTCGGTTTTCCACTGGGGATGGTGATGGCCCGTTTGTTTTTCTTTACTTGTGTTTGCATTTATCAGTTATTTGTTCATTTATCGATGGTAGGTGTTTCCAAGTGGAAATACATACACTGCAGTTTTATGAAGTCTCACCTCTTGATAGAATTATTTCGTTTGTATATTGGCTTTATGCAGTGTCAACGTGCTCGTTTTTTACTGGAAGGCATGTTGATCTGAAGTGTGTAGAAAGGGGAAAGAAGTTCGCGTGCATCAGGTTATGCCCGATTCTTTGAGGATACGACATCACTGTACTTAGGCAAACGTGTACTGACCCCGTAAGTTCATCATGGCTGCTGTCCTTTTTATTGAAGGAATAAAACGTGCAAAACGTTGAGTTCCTGATTCGCATATCAGCGAATTTCTATGAGTGTGCTTGAATTTTGGTACAGATAATTTCCATGCACTTGGTTTCATATAACTAGTTTAGAGATATAATCGTATTGCACAAGGCACAAAGGCCCTTGCCAGTTATGCTTGATGGAAAAGGTATAGAATATACTTGAATGTTCTATTCAGTTCTGCAAGTGGATTAGGCGTGTCAGTCAAGCTGTAAGAATAGTCATTTATTAAACACTACTGGATGTATAATCCGAATATTCTTACTAAATATATGACCCAAAACAGTACAAAGGAAATGAATGAAAGCGTTTCAGACGTCTGTTCTTATCTTGGAATGAGGTGCATGAGATACGTGAGGGAGTTCAAGATAAGAGGTGGCCCTTGCGTTTTAAAAGATGCCAGGTTTCTCTGGCTTTTGCTAGAAGAAAGATATGGAATAAGATACCAAATTTTTAAGTTTCAGATCGATTTCAGCTTTCATAAAAGGAAGAAATAATGTACAAAGATATGTGTGTATTTTAGTTTTTTTTAACACAGCAGTGTTTTTCACTATGTTGATGATGTCTAATGGTAACTAATGCATTTTTTGTGTTTTTTTCCAAATTTTCTATTTCTCTGAAAAGGTTTAGTTGTTTTTTACTTTCACCATAATGTATTAATATCGTTTAACCTTTCGTCTCATTATTATTGAATATGTTGTGCGCTCCATTTCATTTTATAATTGAAGGCCATATTTTGCCTATTTAATCTTATTAACAATTTGCTGTGCCATCGCTTTGTAATTACATATTCAAACAGTTATTTGCACGTAACATTAAACTCACGGAATTTCCTTTGTAAGCATGAGTGCTAGAATCTTGGAAGTGTTACCTCTACTGTTTTGCATAAATCAGCAGGTAGGCCCTAGAATGCGAACTTTAGGCTTAGTAAGAAGTACGGTACACAATGCAGTGTTTCTTTACGTTGTAAGAAACGAAACATATAAGGTTAAGGAAATCTAGAGGAGAGATATAATCCGAAAGTAAGTGAAATGCGGAGGGCTTCGCCGTAGACTTTTAATGTTATTCGTTAGAAGTCTGCCTTGTGTTTGAAAATTTCATAGATTGTTTTAACGAATTCAGAATTTACAAATGCGAGATCAGATGAAGATGATTATTGATTCTAAAACATATTTGATTAATAGCTCTGAATCTTTCGTGTTTTTTAAACGCCGCTCAGACGTCGGGTGTCATGAGTCGAATAAGAAAATATATGGGATGTGAAATGGCAAATAAAGGGTAAAATGTAAACAGTGCAATAATACGTCAGTCGAACGGGTAATGAGAGAGAAGTGGAAAATAGAGAATGTCAGCGCTTTTATTAGTTTCTGAAAAGAGAGATGAAAACGCAGTTTTACAATTAAAAACTGGGTAAAAAGGCACGCACAAGTCGCAACAGACTTGATTGCAAGCATGACGGGAGGGGGCGAGCGGTTGAAATAGAGGGCGTGCGAGGCGAGACGAGGTCAAAGAGCACGCCAGAAACCGAGAGAAACAGCGAGCCTCGTCGAAGGTGGACGAGAAACGCCGGTGATTATTGGAGGAACAAGTGGGGGCCAGTCAGCCCCTCCCCTTCCGCCTCCCCTCCACCCCCTCCCCTCTCCTAGGCTACCTAACCTCGTTGATCAGATATTGATCGTCGCTTCCAACAGGTTTTCGCATCTGTGGCTGATCGGCCCGGGCTCTAGGCTTGATCCTGAACCGTATGGGTATGGAATTGTATTTCCAACCCCTCCCACGTCCCTCTTAGAACCGCCCATCCCCCAGGCCCCTCCCCCTACTCCTTGCACAGCCCTTGATGACGGAGTTGGATAAGCCTTATAAGGAAAGGAGATCAGGCCGAGATGAGACTGGGATTAAATATGAAGCGGGTATTGGGAGGGGAGGGGGCAGAAGGGGATTCAGGGAGTGGGGAGGAGAGGTGGGGACGCGAGGACGACGAAGGAGGGAGGAAGGGACAGAGGGAGGGATGCCGGGAGGGGATTTGAGAGGAGGGGCGGAAGGAGGAGGGGTAAGGTGGCAGGAGGAGGGATGAAGACAGGGGGAGACAGATAGAGAGGGAAGTCGTTGAAGGTAAACTCGAGACGCGCTCTCTCTCTCTCTCTCTCTCTCTCTCTCTCTCTCTCTCTCTCTCTCTCTCTTCTTTCTCAATCTCTCATCTCGCCTTCTCTTCTTCTTCTCTCTCTCTCTGAGCAATGCTCTGCTCCGTCAGGTCTCTCCTCTCGGATCTCTCCTCGGGTCTCTATGCAGCGCTCGGTCCCGCCTCTCGTCTCGGTCTCTCTCGTGCGGTCTCTCGCTCCCCCGCCCCCCTCTCTTCTCTCTCGGTCTCTGTCTGCTCCTCGACCACTCGATTCGGTCTCGTTATCTGTCTTTCCTCTCTCCGCTCTCTCGAGTCTCCCTCATCCCAAGCACTCCTCTCTCGCTCTCTCCTCTCTCTGTTCTCTCTCGTTCTCTCATCTCGCCTCTCATCTCCGTCGATCAAGTCTCTCTCCCTCCTCTCTCTCTTCTCGCTCTCTCTCCTCTCGTCTCGGTCCTCTACTCTCTCTGGTCTCTCTCTCCGTCTCATCGTTGGTCTCCAGTCGGTCTGTCTCTCTCCCCGACACAGTCGGTCATATGCTCCTGTCTCTCGTCTCTCAGTCTCTCAGATCTTCCTCCGATCCACCCACCGCCTCTCTCTCTCGGTCTCGTCATCGCTCCTCTCTGCTTCATCTCCTCCTTCTCATCTCTCTCCATCGTTATCCTACCAGCCGCCTCTCTCGTGGTTCACTCTCCCTTCGACTCTGCTTCTCCTCTCTTATTACCAATCTGGTCTCTCTCTTTCTCTCCCCTCTGGTGCCGTACCCCTCCTCTCTCTCTCTCCTCTCTCTCCCTCCTCATCGCTCTCATCATCTGCCTCTCTTCTCGT